TATGTTCAGAGAAAAAGAAGCTTTTCATCGGTCACTCTCCCATAAAGCACTTACTTGTCAAGTCAGGGGTCTTATCTCTCTGCCTTATTTCCTTCTTACCCAGAAGCAAAGGAGTAGGTAGTCTGTCTGCCTCAGCTCAGCTATCTTGGCTCTCTTAGGGAGACTAATTTAATAAATCAGAACATTCTCCCACCTCAGACCTGTTTTCCAGCGATTAATAACAATAATTACTAATATGTATTTAGTCATTACTAAGTGCTTAGAAGCACACTAAATACCTGAGTTATTTAATTTATTCTCCAAGAACCAGGTATTTTTATGATTCTTAGATCAAGAGACTGTGCCCTGAGAGTTAGGGAACGTGCCCAGTCTTACAGAGCCAGTGAGTGACAGGGTTATCTGTGGATTCATGGTATGTTTTGATCCAAACTACAGTCACTATCTAATGCTAGCCTTTGCCTCCATTTTTGAAGGGAATGATTCTCATATTTAGGCTAAAATCTTCTTCATGGTTTTCTGTTGGGCCTCCAAGTTTAGACAGTCACAGACCTAACTTTAAGAGAGATCTTTGGGGCTTCCCTGGCGGTGCAGTGGTTGAGAGTCCGCCTGCTGATGCAGGGGACACAGGTTCGTGCCCCGGTCCGGGAGGATCCCACATGCCGCGGAGCAGCTGGGCCCGTGAGCCGTGGCCACTGGGCCTGTGCGTCCGGAGCCTGTGCTCCGCAACGGGAGAGGCGGCGGCAATGAGAGGCCCGCATACCAGGAAAAAAAAAAAAAAAAAGAGGGAGATCTTTGGCAGGGATTATTCAGGTAGAACTAGGAACACTACAAGAATGTGGTGGTCTCAGTACCCACTTACCCGATGGCCTGGACTCAAATCCCAGTGTACCGTTTACTAGCTCCGTGACTTACACCTGATTTCTCATCTGTAAAAATTGGGATAATACTTACTTCTCAAGGGATGTGAGGCTTAATTAAGATACTATGTGTAAAGTACATAGTATTGCAGCTGGCACACGTAAGAGCTCTGTAGATTCTATTAATAATTTCCTCCAAAGTGTACACAGTTTGAATTGACAAAGATGGAACCATTTTCCTAGTTCGAGGGTGTGCACTGCCTCACCTTTTTTTCTGTCTCTGAAAGCATATGTTGGAGTGCTTGGTGGTCTAGGTAATAAAGGAATGAAGCAGAGTGGACAGGTGCTTCTAACCTGGAGAAGAGACTGCAGAACTGACTGAATAAATGTATTGTCTTATATTTGTGGGAGGAAACTTTAAAGTATATGTGGAAGCTGAAGTTAAAAGAGGGGTCATAAAGTGCTGAAAGGACTTCTTTGTGAACCCTGACCTTCTCTGGCAATGCTCTTATACTTTTAGAGTCACAGAGCAATTGGTAGTTGCAGGACAGCCGGGAGCATCTACCCTCCCAGTGCACATACACACACAGTTGTGCATACAGTTTTGGGGTTCACAGAAACATCCTGTAAAGCCCATTCATGTGTTTGCTCTCAGGCTATTATAAAGGCCTGTGGGGCACTGATGATTCTTTCCCCTCAGGAGCCTTCCTCAGTGGTGATGAGGGAATTGGAGGTTGAAGATTGAGGAGGAGTTTTGTAGTTAAAAAATAGGTGTTCTGGGCCCAAGATGGAGCTGCTCTTGCCTGAGTGCTACTTCAGCAAACTGAAACTTAGATAACTTTCATGTCCCTGTAAGTGCTCTCCTTGACCAGAAACGCAGTATATCCAGCCAGCGAACCCCCAGACACCAAGCCAGCTCTGGGCTCTATACTTACTTCCTTCTTCCTTATTCTTTATCCTGTGAAAGCTTCCTGCCTCCTGTCCCATTTTGCAATTCTCTGGCCCCTTGGGGATGGAGACTGCCCACTTCATGAAGTGTCAAAGTTTGTTTCTATCACCTAAATTGTCATCTTTAGTCATTTTTAACAGAGGGGAGGTCATAGCAGTAAAGGGGATTTCATGGATGAACTTAAGAAAGAGTGAAAGTGAATGGTGGGGTGTCCTAGGGAATAGAAAATAGGCTAAGACTAGATGAAGAATGTTTTTGATATTGTGTGAAGGAATTTCGTCTCATCCTTATGTCTGGCCATCCTCAGAGGATTACAGGCCTGGGATGGGGCAAATCAGGGGGTGGGGAGGTCATCTCGATGTCCCTACCAGAGCTGTAACTGGAGTAGCTACATGTTATGATTTATATATAAGGTTTGGTGTGGATTAAGGATTTTATAACTTTAATGTATTGGAACAAAATCTGTTATAGGCAGAAGAGATCCAAGAAAATTTTAAGACAAGGAATTGATGTGAGGCAGTATTTGAAAAGATAATGCTGGCAACAAGACTCAACCAGGATACCAGTCAGGAAGCCAGGATGAGTCTTGCCTCTGGATCCACACTGTCCTGTTGTGCGGTGGTGGAAATGCCTCATAACTGTGCTGTCCAGGAAAGAAGCCACTAGCCACATGTGGCTGTTGAACCCTTGAAATGTGGCTGGAGTTATGGAGGAAGTGGATTTGTAATATTACTTTTAATTAGTGTAAATTTGAATAGCTATGTCAGGCTGATGCCTACCATATCGGACAGTCCAACTCTAGATGGATGGTCTACGTCCCGAAAGGATGCAGCCCTCCCTACACCTTGATTTTAGCCCACTGAGACCTGTGTCAGGCTTTAGACCTGTGGAGCTGTAAGATAATACATTTCTATTGTTTTAAGCCACTAAGTTCATGATAATTTGTTATGGCAGCAATAGAGAAGTATTAATTATAACCCTCAAATGGCATCATTAAAAGGGCTTTCGGACAAACATTATTTCAGTTTGCAAGCTGCCAACTGAGACAGTTTTTTCCTTTTCGGAATTATGTTTCTTTTCTGGTGATCTAAGTAGCCTATGGTCATTACATAAAATTTGGAGAAAACACAGGACATTATAAAGAGGAAGAAAGCAAGTAACTATGTCTTCCTTTCTGGAAGTTGATACTAATAATAATTGGATATATTCCCTCTTAGTTTTGTATTCATATTTTTATGATGGTGGAGATAATAATGAGCTTAGAGTTGTTGAATGACTATTATGTGCCAGGCCCTGTTCTAAACATTTTTCTTATACTAAGTCAGTTAATCCTCATTGCAATCTGTGAGATAGGCAGTTTTCCCACTACACAGATAAACCAGCTGAGGCAAGAAGGTACATATGCGTGTATGATACATTGTATATCTGTATAGGACATTGCAGAGCAGCGCATCTGTCTCAGGCACTAAATTTCAGGGCACGGCTTAATCCTATGCTATACTGCCTGTATTCTGAATATAACTTTTTTTTTTTTTGGGTTCGCGAGCCTCTCACTGTTGTGGCCTCTCCCATTGCGGAGCACAGGCTCCAGACGCGCAGGCTCAGCGGCCATGGCTCACAGGCCTACTGCTCCGCGGCATGTGGGATCTTCCCGGACTGGGGCACGAACCCGTGTCCCCTGCATTGGCAGGCGGACTCTCAACCACTGCGCCACCAGGGAAGCCCTGAATATAACATTTTTAATCTTGATTTTTTTCACTTAACCCTTTAAAGATTTTCTCATGTTCTTTACAACTTCTCTGTGCAAACATGGATAGCACAAGTGTTACCCTTTTGGGGCCACATTTATGCCAAAATAATTACAGTGACCTTTATTATCATTGAAAAGAAGCGTATTGGAAATAGAAATCCTTCTGCTTAAAGGTGAAATTAGCAGGATGCTACTTATGATTGGAGGTGAGGGATGGGGGCAAGTGTCAAGTAAATTTGTAAAGTCATTTACTTGGAACTTGAAGTTAGTTTTCCTTTAGAATAATGTGATCCATTATTGGATTTTCACCAGCACCCCTTTCCCACATGCCTGTTTTTCATATAATGGAACTACTAAATGTTGTCAGTCCATCGAGATTTATCCCAAGAACTTGTGTGTGAGGGAAAGAAAATGTTCCCCAGCTGCAAAATTAGTGTAAAATTGATCAGAACAGAGATATGCAAAGTTATCTTTAAAAATTCAATATAGAATCTGGGCCTCTAAGATGTTATCCAGAAAAGGAAGACATAAGTCAGAAACTTCTTTGTCAGCCCTGGGAGAACTGAGAAAAGGGCGCCTGGGAGATCCACCGACAGGACCCAGGGAAGCACTGCACATGGTGGAGGGAGCTTTATTTAGCTGATGACCTCTGAAGGGACTGGCCTCTTTGCAAGACAGATGCATCAGGTTATTTTAGGCGATGCAGTTAACATCAGCTCACTGTCTTATTTGCATTTCCACCCAACAATTTCTGGTTAAAATTTGGCTTCCTAAATAGGTCTACCTACAGGGAGAGATTTCTCTGGCCATGCTGCCACAAGTATTATTGGCCTGTCACAGTTATATTTATCATTGTAAAGTAAAAGATGAGGATGACAGTTCTATAAATGTTTCCTAAGTTCAGTTAAATCAAATATACCTCTCAGGTATGGGTCCATTCTGACAGTCAGTCCCTGAACCGGGAGCTCACCAGGTAGCCTGGGTCTTCACCTCGCTTCATCCCCTTTGACTTTTCATTGGTCAAGCTTAGGCTCCAGTGTTATTTAAGCAATTGCAGTGTAGATTTGTAATAAAACAATAGGAAAAATACAGTTGTGGTCTTAGTAATTACTGCAAAAGGATGGTAAGGTGCAATAAGAACAGTTTAATTAGAGAAGGATGTAGATGCTGCTGCTCATAATGATGAATAACATTAATCGGGGACTTAAAAATGGGTCAGGCATTGTATTATGCACTTTAAATGAATTATTTCATTTACTCCTAACAACTCCCTGAAGAAGGTACATTAGTATATACAAGTTACCACTGGGAAAATTGAGGATGTGTAAGTCTAATGACTCATCCAAGGCTAGACATTCAGTAAGTGTAGAGCCAAGTTTACAAGTCCAGGCAGCATGAGTCTTTGCTCAAACTCTTAGGCATAATGCTCCATGAAGGGGCTGAAAGGAGGCTGTGGAAGAGAAGCTAAGGGGAACTTGCATTTCAGCTTCAGGAGTTGATGTTACTGGTTTCTGTTTAAACCTTCTTCTTTGTGATCCAGGTATAGGCAGACCTCGGAGATATTGCTGGTTGAGTTCCAGACTGCGGCAATAAAGGGAATATCGTAATAAAGTGAGTCACAAGAGTTTTTTGGTTTCCCAGTCCATCTAAAAGTTATGTTTACACTATCCTATAGTCTATTAAGTGCAGCATTATGTCTTTAGAAAACAATGTACATACCTTAACTAAAAAACACTTTATTGCTAAGAAATGCTAACCATCATCTGAGCCTTCAATAGGTTGTAATCTTTTTTGCAGTTATAACATCAAAGATCACTGATCACAAATCACCATAACAACCATAAGAATAATGAAAATGTTTGGAATATTTGGAGAATTACCAGAATGTGGCACAGAGACAGGACGTGAGCAAATGCTGTTGGAAAAATGGTGTCGATAGCCTTGCTCGACGCAGGGTTGTCACAAACCTTGTTTGTAAAAAGTACAATATCTTCGAAGTGCAATAAAGCGAGGTAAGCCTGTATATCATTAGTTTTTCCTACCGACCAATCAGGGTTCGATTCCATTCTTGGCTCACCACTTAGAGAGGAGAGGATCTTCTAAGAGAACTAGATAAGAATTGAAAGGGACTGGGGCATAGTGATGAAGAAGGGGTCAAAGAAGATACATGTGTACAGAAAAGATTGCCAGATAAAAAATTAAACAAGCAGTGGACATGGAAGAACAGGGGAAAGGCAGGTTTAATGGCCAATTATAACCTTTTTGAGGAAGAAAAAAAGAGTGGATCAGACGTCAGTTACTTGAAAAATCTTTGTTTCTGTTTGGCTAGGCGGTGAGGGGTAAGAGAAGCATGCTCAGCTGCCCATCAGTCTGTATGTTCCCTGGTTTGTAACTGCAAGTCACTGCTATTGCCTTTGAGTTCTGGAACTGTTTTATTGCTTTTATAAACTACTAGCTATCTTCTTTTAGGGGGAAATAACAGATGGTCATGCTGGAAGTGAGCTTTTTATCTGAATCTTCAAAACCTTTTTGTACACAATTTATGAGGTTCACTTCTTTGCAAATTCAGTGCTTTCTTGTAGCTTTTCCTTTTGAGATGAGCCACAAGAGCCTCATTTTTGTTGGGCATTGCCTATTAGTGGCAAAACTCCTTTCTTATTTAATCAGCTTCTCCAAAGGAATAAGGCTGAGTCTAGATACGTTCTATTTATAAGGGTGAAAAGATTTTGGCGGTCTGACTAAAAATAACACGTGGAATCTGCCACCTGGGTCTCTCTTCCATATTCATTTTGTATTTTTATGCTTTTTGCTCATGGAGTTCAAGCTCACAGGTCAGCCCCTGTGCGTGTGGAAGAGATTTGACTGGGTCAAGTGTTTGCGGCTGAGGTATGGAGACCACGGCAGTACTGCCGAGAGGCTGACCCCAACCTGGCCAAGTGGTTGCGAGGCAAGGCTGATGTAGCCCCAGATCTTGGTCATTTTGGGTTCAGAATGTATAGAGGATTGTTGCACACATTCTGTGTTGAGTGGAAAAATAGGAGTAAAATAGTATTGCCTGTGAAAAAACCCTAGGAAATGGTGTATTTTTTCATAATTACTAAAAATCTACGAGATAGTTGGATATACACTAGGCTCAGAAAACAACCAACCAAACCAAATCAAAATCAACTTTGCAGAGTTAAGCCTATTCAGAGCTCATTTTGTTCTACAGGCTTATTTCCCAAATCACTTGGAATTAATACTGTTCTGATTTATTATTCAGATCCCTGAGTCGACCAGAGATACTCGTAGCCAGCTTTTGTGCAATCTGTGAATACTGCCTAGGCTTAAGGATGGCAGGCTAGTTTAGTGGCTAAGAACACAGGCTCTGGAGTCAAGGTCTGGGTATCATCATCTGGGGTCTGTCACTTACAGGCTGTGTGACTTTGGGTTAATTACTCAGGTTCTTTAAGCCCTTCAGTTTTTCTCAACTGCAAAATAGACATAACAAGTATTGCCAGGGTTGTTATGAGGATGAGGTTATACAGATAAACATAAGCACATATACACCCACATAGACTTGACCCTTGGGGGCAGGGGGTGCCAACCCTCCAGGCAATTGAAAATCTGCATATAACTTTACAGTCTGCCCTCTTTATATGTGATTCTGTGCCCACAGATTCACCCAACCTCAGATCAGATAGTACTGTTATTCGTATTTGGTGAAAAAAATCTTTGTATAAGTGGACTCAGGCAGTTCAAACTTGTGTTGTTCAAGGATCAACTGTATATGTGTGTGTGTATATATATATATATATATATTGCATAACATATATGTGTGTGTATAAAGTGCTTGCATATAGAGTACATGCACAGTAAATCACAGCTGTGTTGTTGTTCAGTTGCAGACTTTGCTCCTGTGTTGTCTTTGTGAAGGAAGAAATACTGTTCTCAGTGTTGGGTACTGCTTGCTTTAATTATTTTGGCTTAAGAAAGAGGGCTAAGTCTATGGTAAAACACCCAAAAATCTCTTCTGGAAACTATCCTATTTTGGAGGATCGTGAAGGCTCTGAGAAGTCCTGCATTAAAGAAACCTATTTAAATTCTTATATGTGGAATATTCCCAAAATGATTTGATCACTAAAACCATTTTTTTCCAGTTATACCTATTAACATCCTGTGGATCCACTGCTCTGCAAACCCAGCAAACACACTTTAGGAAATTCTGATCAGCTGATATAGCCATGGTCTTGAACATAGAAATGTGTATCTGAATCCTTGTTCTATACTTTCTGGCTCTGTGTCTCTGGTATAGCACTGAACTTGACTCTCTCCTATCAATTAAAACTCAGCTTGGATATTATCAGCTCCAGGACCATCAGCCCCCAGATAACTGGGTAAGAAACACTTCTGTATGTGCTCATGATCAGTGCTGTGAAGAGCCATATTAGAACCTGAGGCAAAAGAAAATATCAGTTAACCTGATACTGTCTTCATTTAAAATGAAGTTCCTCACTTGTCTCACCCTCTTCCTGGCCCTGCTCATAATGCCATGAACATGCATCTCTCATACTATAATAATTTATTTATATATGTCTCCACAAATAGACAGAAAGCTCCTGGTGGGTCAAGACAATGCCTTATTAATCTTTATATCTATGACACTTAGCACTGGCACAAAGTCAGTTTTCAACAATGTGTTTCAGACTAGAATGCTCTTCCCCTAGAGATCCACTCCCTCACTTCCTTTGTGTTTCTGCTTAAATATCATCATCAGAGAGGCCTTTCCTGTAAAGTGGTATCACCCTCACTACCACCTAGGTATGTATCCCTTATGTCATTTAATTTTTCTTCATAGCACTTATCATGATCTGACATCTTTTTGTTTATTTTTTTATTGTGTATCTCTCTTGACCTAAACCTTGGTCTAGCAGCGTCTTGGTCTGTTTTTTCATTTCTGCATCTCCAGTGCCTAGAAAAATAGTACTAGGTACATAACAGATAATAAATATTGGCTGAGTAAATAAATTACTGAATCAATAAAGGAATGGATGAATGAATATCTTTTTCCTTCATTGCCTTTCTGGCAAATGGGAATAATGCAACCTATCTCATCTGCTAATAGCATTAAATAAGAATGTGCGTAAGGTGCCACTTAACGTAGTGCTTTGTGCGCTGGTGGTATTTATTAAATGTTTGCTAGATAAATCTGAATCTAGCTGAAGGTGAATGGAAAATGGTAATTCACGTGAGGGTTTTAGGGGACTAACGATAACTTCTGTGCCAGAGTTTTCTAATACTACAAAGAGAATGCTAGATACCATGGTGTCATTTATTGAGTGGTAATTTTATAAACAGAATATTAATGAAACAAGAGTCACATTCCTTCTTTAAAATAGAGTGTATGTTTAATCAGAGACCGAGATAATGGTTTTTCATCTTACGGCTCCTGTTATTGGACAGTCTCATGGGACGACCTTAGGTATTGGGGTCCCAGCGTCTGAGCTTGAATTCTGGCTCTGCCCTTTAGTGAGGGTGGGTAATTTCAGATAAATCATTTACCCTCTTGTTGAGCCTTAGCTTCTTCATTTGTAGGAGAACATCATTATAAATAGCTGTATCTCAGATTTGATATAAGAATCACGTGTGCTCATTTTATAAAACAGTGAATGTTCGTTGCTGCTGCTCTTTTTACTGCTATTACTACGAGTACCACCACTGCTGCTGCCAGTACCACCACTACTTCTACCAAGCAACATCCTCTGGAAATTTCCAAGCCAAGCTATAAGGAAAAAATGCTACCCACTGTTTATTTCTCTCATAAACTTTTAGCAGATCTCAAAGTCTAAAGGGAAGCTGGAACCAGGACCAATTGCAGTAACTGATTGTATACACTGACAGAACCTGGAAGCCGCTCTTGCCACCAGTAAGTCATTCTTCGGGTCCTGTAACTCTGATCTCCACATCCCCTTAGGATTCTCCTGCTACCTGAGGGAGGTTCCAGCACAGTCTGACACATCTTTAGGACTGCGTCCATTAGCAAACAAGGTTGTTGACTTGCACGTGTAGAACTGCAGGTGTTGCACGTTGCTGGTTTATTAACGTTCTGTTTCTGTTTCCCATGTGTGTGTTTTTCAGAAGGTAAGCGAGCAACTTTGCATAAATCAGTCTTTCCTATTGAGCCAAGACCATTTCAAGAAAAAGTCTGGAGGAGTGACCTCCGCACGCCTTGGAAAGGGGAGTCAGTAAGACAGTGCGACGCTGACCACAAAGCAGAATCCAAGGAGCCATACTTGAAAGTGAATCATGAATTTTTATTCCACAGCTAAAAAGGTATATTTGTTTATGCTCTGTTTTCCTGAGGACTTGAAAAGAGCTAACAGCTTCTCTTGGGTGCTCTTTCTTACCCACCTCTGCTCTCTTTCTTTTGCTATTCCTTCATTTCTTTTTGGAGAGATCACAGCAAACTGTGTGTGTGTGTGTGTGTGTGTGTGTGTTCTCAGCAAGCACTAGAAAGAAAAGGTAACCCCCTTAAAATAGAATTACTGGGAACATGTCTCCTTAAAAGAAGCTGAGATAACAGATCTCATTAAAACTGTGCTTTAATGGAATTGAAGGGAACTCTATCATTAAGATGTGTTTGCAGAAGGTAAGTAGAAAGTGATTTTAATTACTGAGTGTTTCTAAATATATCCACCCACTCCTCCCCAGCCAAGTCATGCAGATCTGTAGTTCCAGGAGAAACTATATCATATTGTTGAAGGGTGACTAGAGATATTCAAACTGACCATGATTTGGTAAGGTCTCTGCTTAATTAACCAGAACAGAGACAAAACTAGAATTTTCGACCTGTATAGTAGAATAGAATTTTGTAATATGCTTAGCAGTTTTGCTATAACCTATATGCAGAAATGTAGAATAGGCAATGCTCAGATTTCAGGTTTCGTAATTGAATTCTGTGAGGCGCAGATATACCTCCAAACAGTTTTGGAGATTTTGTTTTCGGGGTATCCTGCTTTCCAGGAAGTCAGGCCCTGGGGTGTGGCTTGCAGTGGTGCAGATGTGACCCAAGAGCTCAGAGCTGGAACAGGAAGAAGATGGTGAGCACCAGATGGGAACCTGCATGTCTTAGCAGATGGGTGGCCTGATAGCAGGATCTTGGCTTATGAAACCTCCCTTTAAAAAAGAGGTCCTCATCACATGAATGTGTGACAGTTGTAAGCACTCTTTGGGAAATAATGGATGATGATTGGGTAAGTTGATTTAGGTAAGTTAATACAGTAGAACCTGGAATGCTTGGCATGAGATTTTGACTTGATACATTTGGCAGCTAGGAACGATTGCAGTTTTTCGGGAAGGGGATTGACAAGGCAAAAAGATGCTTAACATTGGAAGAATGCAAAAAGTATTAGGAGGACCAAAACGACATTTAGGCTTCTAAGGTTAAGGACTGGGTCTTACTCATTTTGAAGCCCCTGGCGCCTACTCGCACAAAGTCTGGCACACAATTAGTACTCAGTAGATGTTTGTTGAATGAGAAAAAGAACAATTCTATCTCATGGATATCCAAATGGATTCCTGAAGTTTAGGGTGATATGACGAAGGTTTTTTTTTCTGGTGAGAAATTATTACCCCATAAAATAGAAACTGAGGGAAAGTGTGGAACATATTGAGAGGTCTCTATGGGTTAGACTTGTTCCAGCCTAAATGTCAGAGGTAATTTTGCTGACTTTTCAACTCCAAGATGTATATGACATACTTAACTCTGTTACATAGATGAAAAGTGCTAAAAAAAAAAACCCAACAACTAGCCATGAACAGACATGGAGGAACATTAAATGCCTATTGCTAAGTGCGGGGAGCCAGTCTAATTATACTGTATAGTTCCAACTACATGACATTATGGAAAAGGCAAATCTATAGCGGTAGTAAAAAAAAATAAATAAATAAATCAAGGGTTGGGCGGGGAGGGCAGGAAGGTAAAATATGTGGAGCACAGAGGATCTTTAGGGCATTGAAATTATTCTGTATGATACTGCAGTGGTGGATTCGTGGTAGTATGCATTTGTCAAAACCCAGACAACTGTACAAACACAAAGAGTGAACTAATGTAAGCTATGGACTTCATTTAATAATAGTATGTTGTTTCATCAGGTGTAACAGATGTGTTGCACTAATGCAAGGTAATAATAGGGGAAGCTGGGTGGGGTGGATAGGAGAACTATCTGTACTTTCTGCTCAGATTTTACATAAACCTAAAACTGCTCTAAACACTATTCTGTCAGTTATTTTTTAAAAACTGTAAATCATCACAACATAGAGGAATGAGGCATCTCTTAACTTGGGGGGACATTTTTTCTTTCTACACTGTTAGAACTGGTATACCTTTCTTTCTTTACTAATTAGAAAGGAACTAGGAGGAATTGAGAAGAGAACCATTATTCTCCTCTATCAGACAGAAATAAAAGTGAATTGTAGCCATCAGTTCCTTTCTGCACACTCCAAGCTGGGAGATACAGTAGAAAAATGATCCTTCTTTGACTTTTCTCCTGGGTAATTGATGGCTTATGTTCTTGGCAGTTAAAAGCAACAGACATGTGAGTGGGCATATGGAAATCAAAGGGCAGAATGTAGTTGAGTCCAGACCTCATTCAACATTTTACAAAAGCAGGGTCCGGTATTCAGAAGGAAATGGCAAATCCCATTCCCGTTTTTCATCGTGCCTCCTTCTCCATCATTTCCCTGGGGTTTGTCCCAGGTTTCCCTCATTTGGGGGCACACGTTGCCTCTTCTGGTATTACCCCAGCCTGCATTATGTTGCCAAATGGTATTTCCAGTTTGTATTTCATTCTTATCCAGCTATTAGAGCGGACCTGGCCTTCTGTTGAATTTTTTTTTTAAACTTTGTCGTAAATTGAGCAGATGGATTTGAATTCCTAATTTTCTTCAAAAATGTGCCAAGTACTTGTTCCTTTGTTCCTCATTTTCCCCTTGACCGATTCCTTGTGGCTTTGCATTTTTCTTCTTTAAAAGCATCTCACTGATGAGTCTTGTGTCTCTGCATTCTGGGCATCTCATTGGTAGCTAAGTTTTCTAGAATCCACTCCCCTTTGGTTTTGAGATGCTATCCTGGTTTCATACACCTAGGATATGTGGGTGTACACATAAATATTACCACTGAAATAATTGAAAATCAGAATGCTAAAATATAATTTATACTTCTTGAGATTGCTTAAGGAAAAAAAAGACATATTTGTCTAGTGTTTTATTGAATACTATGACCAGTTAATTTGCAAAGTGTTTCAGATAAATTATGTCAATTTAACCTCATTGAATCCCTTCTGATAGCTCCATTTTACAGAATAAGGTAGTGAGGCCATAGGAATGGACTTGCCCAAGGTCAGTTACCCAGTAAGCAGTAGAGCCAGGAGGCAAATTCAAATTTATTTTATGCTATAGTCTACTTTTCTTTTAATTAAAAAGTATTTTAAGTATTACAAAGTGGCTTTGTAATATGAAGGGTTTCTGTTTGAGTTCTTTTGGGGAGCGGGGATGTTCTTTAAGTTGCTTAAACCTTAGTGTTTCTGTCTATAAAGTGGGGATGATGTTCATTTACTTTCAGTATTGCTCTGAGAATTAAAAGAGATAATGAAGTTAAGTTCCTTGCACAGGGCCTGGTATGCAGTTATTTGTGGAGTGTCAATTTTTTTTAATATTCAAACTGTTGTTTTTATTGCTGATGCTATAATTCATCTTGGGACAGAAAGGTAAACTATACTAAGTTAAGACAAAAATTACCATATGTTACTAGATCTGTGTCCTTTACTAAACCCTGTGACTGAAACCACCTCTTACATTGTTGTCTGTGAGTCCTCTCCTGACACCTGCCATCCCACTGCCCAGCCCTGTGGCAGAAAGTTCTTTGGAGACCTGATTGTTTTGCTCCCTTTTCTTGGAGGCCATGTTTTTCTGGTCAGGAGCAACCTAATTATGCCAGCCTTTCTTCTTCCATCAGCACAACTGTCTGAAACCTTCCTACCAAACTGATCTATTTTCCATCCTTAGTGAGACTCTTTCTGGATTAAAGGTCAGCGGTCCACACGTCAGCCGCCTGTGCAGATAGCGCTGTTACACTGACTTGTCTTGCCTTTTGTCACCCTCCTGCCTCTCCTGCTACCAGTCTGATATTAAAGCCTTACCTTGACTGGGTGCTTACTTGCCTCTGCCACCGGTTTTAGGAGTTGAAATGCAGACCCAAGATTATCAAAATAAAACAAACAAAAGTAGTAATGAACAACGCAAACAAGCAGCCAGTGACCTTTCACTCTGTAACATACGGCATATGTGGTGTTTTAAATTCAACACATGTTAAAATTCCTTTTCTTTTTTTGCTATAGCGTAGAGGTGCTTTTCTTTTTGTTTTCTTTAAAAAACCTCTTTTCAATCTTGGAAAGCCTTCCTTGTTTCCAGGACACAGAATCCAGACCAATCTATAACAACTTAATAGTGTGTATGTGGAGGGGGGTTGTTGCTGGTAGTTTCCTATACCTTGGTACTTTATTTGTGTCAAGTTAATGTACATGGAACAAATACCTGAATATCTGTGATGTGTCAAGTGGAACTTGCATGGCACTGGGCATGAATTAGCAAACAGAAAAGCCCCAGGGAGCTGTGGGTGGATAGGCATGAAAAAGGAAACATAAGGATGCTACACTTCAGCTCAATGGGAGGCCAACTTCCAGTCCTGATACAACCAGGAAGCTCTAGTTCCCACTAAAGAGCTAGCACATGAAGACCACCCTGCCCGCAGCAACCTCTGTGGCCCAAAGAATACAAGGTAGCCTGGTAGAGAATGCTTAGAGGGGGATGAGACAGAAAGGCATCTTGCAAATGGTATTGATGGAGAGTAGTCTCCTTAGTGGTATTATTGACTTGAGTTGTTGATTTAAAACCTGAACTTTGATCACTTGCAGACAGAGACATAGTTTCACAGTTACACATCTGAACTCTGATACAATGAAGCAATGTCCTAATGTGCCCTGTGATGCGATGAGAAGAGAGGGAGTGGAAAAGACCATCAGGCATCCAAACTGGATCAGCCACATATCCTTCTCAGGTACAGTGGGCTAAGGGTTCAACAACTTCTTACTAAGAAGGAGTTGGAAGTTGATACCAGAATCTCACTGTATGGAAATTGAATTTTGTTATATATTAGCTATGTTTAAGCTAACTGTCATGAACAAGAAATAAATCCCACAAAACTCCTTTGGGTTTTATGATAGTTGGCTGTTTGGGGGAATGGCTGGTCCAGCCTGACCATTGCAGTCAAGGGCCCACAGACAGTGATACCAGATACGTGCAGCTGTTCACAGAGTGTGGTATATCCAAGCGGGCTTCTGTTTCCTGTACCATCTGGCACAATAGCATTGTGAAGAATATGAAAGACCAAATCCCTTCCATGGAAGAGCTTACAGTCTAGGGGAAAGGCAGGATACATTAAAATGTAACAAATATACAAAATTATTTTATTTCTATTTTATTATCAAAGTAATGCACGTGCATGGTAAAAGCAAGACAAACACTAAAATAACAGAGCAGACTCTATGTATAAACTATTGATAAACATCATATATTATTTATTCCTCCCCATAGTATAGGATTTAGCACACCTCCTCCTTTCTTCTTTTCCAAATTCATAATTGTATTACTGTGTTTATCTTTTCTGCTGACTACTTTTATAACTAATTACAGCTCTAATTTCCTATTCCATCAACTTTTGATGGCATCACCTTTGTTTCATTCTCTCTTTCAAGCCCCCTTCATCTGTTGCCCAGCTCCATTGTCAGAGCCTGAACTTTTACAGGGTAAAGCCTGATAGATTTGACTTTGTGTTCTGTAAGGAGACTTGTCTCCCCCAGGCTTTGTACATAAGGTATTTAAATAACAAGATAAAGTTCTTTACAGTGACTTGCAGTTGCAAAGTTTCTGTTATTCTAGTTCCTTGACCAGTTCTGAGGCCTGAGAAATCAGTCAAGGTAAAATAAATGTAGAATGGTTCATGGAGGCGTTTGGACATATTCTGAGTCTCGAAAGATGTGGAAGACTTAGAGGGCAGAGAGGTCGATGGTGTGAAGAGGAAAGAAAACAGGATCTGTACTATGACTCTGGTGTAGTCAGGTGATAGACAACTGACAAGGCTCTCTGAAGAAAATTATTCCTTGGAGCACAATGGTGGATAAAGTTGGAAAGGTACTTTAGAACCAGGTGGTTGGCTGAGCCTCAGGCTGTCTGCTTCCTCAAAGTTGTAGACTATACTTTCCGTGCCTCCACTTCCTGCTCTCGCTCTCGCTCTCGCTCTCTCTCTCTCTCTCTCTCTCTCTCTCTCTCTCTGCAGCCTCTTTCAATCCGGTGCAAGCCCACACAGCTCTGTTCAGATTGCTCTCAGAGACCACCACAAGCTTAGCTAATAGTGAAGTCCTAACCCACATCCTC